TCTAGTGATTAGAATATATAATGCATTGCTCAAGAAAAGCTGTATCATCTTATTTAGTTTTGAAGGGAAATCTACCCTTCAAAATCTAATCTTAATGTTTTAATTTTAAAATTAATACTTTAGGTATTCTACCTGTCAAATGTTAGCGAGCTACACAATAGTGCTCATCAGCTTGCTAAAGAAATTGCATTGGCTTCTTATATTGCACTTGGAAAGCATCTCAAAACACTGAAAAATAATGGAATGAACAAGATAGGCCTCAGAGTCTCCATGGATGCCGATATGGTAAGCTTTTAAAATGTTGCAGTATCTGTAAATATAACTTAGTCATTTAGAGTTGCACCACTGACCCAAAGTCATCCAGCTAGCTTTCATGCCTAAAATAGGATTAGAACTCAATCTCTCATTTCTTTCCTGATGCCTTAAACACTTACTCAACTTACTGTTACTCAAATTAGATCAAAACTAGATGAAACTGACTCTGGTGATAGCATACAAAATGAAGAACTACAGCATGGTCTCAACCGTTTGACTTGCCTAGGCTTCATTGTTGAAGAGAAATTTTCCTGGTCCACATATAAAATTTATAATATAGTTTTATAATATAAAATCACATAATATTAAGAATTTTTGGTCTTATTGGGCCCCATTACGAGCTGTGCACGGCTACTTGTGGCCAACGGGCTACAGGTTGGACATGCCTGAACTACAGGTATTGAAAACCTGCAGGTCTTCTTCCTAGCTAACATCTGTAGACATGACAGATAAACCTACCTAACAGAGAAAATGCAACTCTGTCTCCCTTGTCCAGTACAGGAAAAATTGGGTGATTAGGTAGCATTTATAAATGTGTCAACTCGTCATTTGTCCTCCAAGTGCAAACTCCTTTGTAACAGAATCCATTTTGTAGATAATTTTTTCACATCTGCATCTGTTTAGTAGGTAGCATTGCCAGCAAATAGAATGGGATGCTATGGTATAGTTTAAAAGAGATCAGTTTCTTATTGATTTTAAATATTCTAAAACGTAATTCTGTGTGTGATAAGATGAATATCACTAGTAATCTATTGCATAAATTGTTCAGGGATCTAATATAGTAATTTTTTGTTTTTTCTTTTAGGTAGAATATCAGGCGGGATCTGGAGGCCAGGTTCTTCCACAGCATTACTTAAATGATTTGGATAGCGCTTTGATTCCAGTAATTCATGGCTGGATATCCAATACTACAAGCTTACCACTGGAAATTGAATTAATATTTTTCATTAATGAGTCTCTTTTAATATAACTGGCAAGTATGTTACAATGTAATAAACTGAATTGCTCTATTGACCAATACAAAAACATTATATTATGAATGGAATATTCAAGTGTTTTTATGCCAATGATTTAGCAGTCTTCTAAGAGAGCTTTATTTAATTAAAAGCTGTTTTTCCATCTTTACTTAAACAAAAAATTAATTAAAGCTGTACACTTTTTTTATATTCTGAAATGTTACATTCAATACAGTTAAGGCAAGGAAGGAATAGAGTTAGCATGTGTGATTAAGGAATTATTTTACAGATAAGCTTAATATTCTTTGCAATTACTGGTAAATCTAGTGAATTCTTAACTATTTTGTGTGATTTTTTAAAATTATCATATTTAAATGGAGTAGAAGTTTCTTGCTCCATAGTTAAGTTCAGATACAAAAGCTGTTAATTACGAGAATATTAGCATAATTATCCTATCTTGAATATGTTTCTACAAGTATAATTATCATTATGACAAAACCAATATGTTTTGTGATCATTTTATAAAGTTATAAATTTTTAATATTGGTATATTTTAAAGTATATTATTAGTGGAACGATAGTTTCCATTTTAATGGCTGACTTTGTTATATATTTATAATGGCTTTAATGAACATAAAATGAATACTTTTTATATTAAATACTTAATAATGTTGTTTTCTTCTGTGCTCAGATATACAATTGTTTCTTGGATTTTCCAAGAAGGAATAAGAAGTCAGATGACCCTTAAAGTAGTCATCCTGTAGCAGTAAATCAGACACGAAGCCTGTCTGTGCTCCTTTCTCTACTTTTTGAGACCTATTGATATCCCTGTTTATGTTCAGAGAGAACAATGTATTCGTTTGAATATTCATGAACCGTTTGCCATAAAATACTTGAGGCTCTTTATATAAGTCTTATTTTTGTAATGAGTTATTTTCAATAAGTAAGCATTTATGTACCAGAAAAATAATTGAGATTACTGCTCGAGTAACCTAATTCAAGTTTGATAATGCCTGCGTAATGTTGCTCTTCGTTGTGTATTGTACGAAATTGTATGTCAGTGTGTCTTTGAATTATTTATACTTATATTCCTATAATGGCAAATATATAATATTCTAATTATAACTAAATGCCTTGACATTAGATGTGTATATGAACTGCAGTTACAAATGCAATTTATTGCTCAGAAATTTGACAATTACAGAATAAAGACACGGAAGTGTAGAAGACTCCAATAAACTAGTCCCATGGGCCATTGTAATGAAAACATTGTACTCCTTTGTATCAAGAATTGTAAATTTGTTGTATACTAAATGTGCATCTGTTTCTCTGTTCTGCTACTGTTGAACATATGAACACATGAACAATGTTAAATGTTTGAAGTATTGATCCATAATGTATAAATATGACTTCTTAAGACACAATTTTATATAACACCAAGCATTACTCTGTTAAAAGGACTTTTGTTCTCTGGAGGATGATCCTTTTATAAATACTAACATTAGGCTTTTATTTTAGAATATAAGTATTACTATATAAACAAAAAGATTACCAAAAACTTTGTAAATTAAGCTCAACAATCCAGAAACAACATTTTAATTTTTCTATTTAGATCACTTAGATACGTCTTTTATTTTAGTGGTTCAGTTCAGTTAAATTTCATCAGTTCCTTATTTGTTTTTAACAGTTTTTAAAAAGGTATTCATAACAGCTCTTTTGATAGCACTGATTATAACAACATAGAATAATAGGGTTGGAAGGGCCCTGCTCAAGCAGACCTTATATGATTGCGAATAAATTGTTGTCCAATATCTTCTTGAAAATCTCCAGTGGTAGAGCACCCACATCTTCTGAATAATTGCTGTCATTGTCAAGAAATTTATCCTTACTACTCAGTAGGCTCTCTCTTTAATGATCTTCCACCTGTTATTTCTTGTTCTACCTTCAGGTGCTTTGGTGAATAGGTTGATTCCCTCTTCTCCATAACAGCCGCTCGAGTTCTGGAAGACTGCTATAATATCACCCCTATTCTCTTTGTTAGACTAGATAAGGCAGACCCTTATCTTTGTTGCTCTTCTCTGTATTCTTTCTAGAGTCTCAGCATCTTTTTTGTATCATGGTGGCCAGAACCAGATGCAGTATTGCAAGTGTAGTCTCACAAGTGCAGTATAAAGCGATACTATCACTTCACAGGATCTTGATACTGTCCTTCAGTTGAAGCAGTTTTGGACTGCATTAGTTTTTAGGCAGCTGCAGCACGCTGCTTGCTTATACCTAATTCACTGGGACTCTCAGATCCCTCTCACAGTACCTACTGTTAAGCCAGACACTGTCTATTCTGTATCGATGTGTTTGTGCTTAAGTGCAGGATCTTACTTTTCTCACCACTGAACTGCACCTTGTTGGATTGGGCCCAATGCTCAAGTCTGCCAAGATTCTTCTGAATCTTGAGTTATCTTCCGCAGTGTTGGCTATTTCCCCCAGCTTGGTGTTGTCTGCAAATTTAATGAATTTCCCTTCTATCCCCTTGTCCAGATCACCTAAGAAAATGTTAATAAGTACTGAGCCTATGACAGAGCCTTGAGGTAGTCTACCACATTCTTCCCTCAATGTAGATGTTGTTTCAATCCAATGCTGAATGTGGTTGATCAGCCAATTGTGAATTCATCTAGTGGGGGCATATTGTCTATCCCACATTGTTCTATCTTACCAAGAATTATGCTGTTATAATGCTTACCAAGAATTATACTTTGTCAAATGCCTTAATGAAGCCTAAGTCTGATCCATTGATTCAGTATAAATTATGATGTTCTTTTAATTTAATGTTTCAGTTAATTTAATGGCTCCTTCTGTTCACTAAAATTTGGAGTGATATCTTACTTCATATTACTGTAAACTTGCTGAATAACGTATAAAAACAGACATGACTGTTGAAAGCATAGATAATAAAATGTAAGATTGCAACAACTTCACATCTAATTTTACATACCTAAAGGAACTTTGGTATTTTCCTTTAAATAAAAGTATTCCTTCACTATGTTGGAATATACTTCTGAGGCTTATTGTGATATGGCAGTTAGATGGAAAAGAAAGTTAAATGGCCTTACATAGAGGCCCTCTGTTGCCTCTGGCAAGACTTTGACATCTTTTTCCCCCCTTGTTGCCTACAATTCACCTGCAGTTCATAAGTGGATTGGAACCATCCAAAGATGACTTCAAGGTATGTACAAATTGGTTAGGCATTATCACTCAAAATGACTAGAGCCAGGAATGGGAATAACAAATGTCACAACAGCATAATTTTCTGCTATGTATTGATAGATGGATGGTACATTAACTTAGTGATGAGAACTCTGTCATTATGTGGTTTATTTGGTTTTGTTACGTGAACTATGATTTATTTGGTAAATTAAGTTAAATCAGCACTGTATCAATTCAATCATTATGATTACCTTGTAATATTTTATAATGTATTAGGTTTATTCCTCAAAATCTTTCAGGTTTAGCTGAGATTACCAAAATCGTTGGCCTAGTCACATACTCCTCTGACCCAGTGGTGTTTTTGGCCCATGTTCCAGCTGTTCTCTGCCTAACCATGTATTTCCCCATTTTTTCTCACTCTCTTTGTTTTAATCTTGTGTGGTGTTAGGTCTGCCATAGGCTATTTCCTACTGTTTCTTGTACTTTCTTCAAACACTTCTCATAATACTTTTATGACTGTATTTTAAAAAAAACTGACTATATTTTCACTGGTATAAACGTTTAAAAATCTAGAACTACTGCATAGTAATTGGGTCTTCTGGTCATTGAATAATCTACTCACTCTGGACTTCAGTTCCCCAGCATTTTTTCCCCAAACATATTACTGTTAATACTTTAATCATCATTTGCCAGGATTGCTGCGGCTTTCTAACAAAGACACAAATGTCTGTCTCTTGTTTTTAACCTAAGTATAGCATTAATTAAGCATTGCAAATTCAAAATATTGCTTCAAAGTTTCCTTGTATACATGAATGGGGCATTATATATTTCCCTGTTTTTAAAGATTTAAGGTAGCTACATTCTTACCAAGCAGTTATGATTCTTTATTGATTAGCGTAAGGAGGTAGCTCAGGTTGTGATTCCAAATTATAGGAATGTGAAATAAATACCCCAATGTATCTTCCCTTTCCTTTTCTAGCTATCCCAAATCTAAATATTTTAAATATTTCATTCAGCTCAAGGATTTATAAATGTTATGCTGAACTTTAAAAAAAATGCTTTGGAAGCAGATTTAACACCACGCCCCAGAGGGTTAATTCTCTTTGGGTTAGTCAAAGGAAGCATTCTTGTCTTCTTTATTTTATGATGCCAATGATTTGCTAAACATTAAAGGATATTTAAAATTCGAAAAAACTTAAAATTATTCTGGGGCCTTTCACGCCTTGGCAAAAAATTCTCAATCTGTGTTTAATAAATTAAAATGTATACTTAAAGTTTAGATTAATTCTGAGATTTCTGTTATTTCTGTTTGTTTTGGCTTGCAGTCTGATGTGTAGGATTTGTTGCACCCTAGTACTTGATATAAGATATACAAATCTTCGAAGTAAAACTAGAATAACACATGACCCTGCCACTATATGATTGTTTATTTTGTGGCCTGAAAAAGCAGGGGTTAATTGGGCAAGTAAGCAGTGAACCAGTGTTTGCCACTTTTTGCCATCACATACTATGTTTTATTCACTAGGCGCGGATAGCCTTATACTTGTATGCTTTCATATATGTCCTCACAGTTAAAAAACTTTTATAAAATCAATAGACATTTTTGTCAAACTCCCTTGCCTTCTGCAGTATTCAACAAATATTAGCTGCAGGATCCTGGGTCCCTTGATTCTTTTGCAACAAGCTTCGTACAGTATCTGGCACTTTTCACTCTGAATATTTCAGCTTCAACCATAACAACACAAGAGCACACAATAGATACAAACTCAAAGTAAACCGCACCAAACTTGATTGCAGGAAATACGACTTCAGCAATAGAGTGGTCAATGTCTGGAATACTCTACCCGACTCTGTAGTTTCTTCCCCAAACCCCAAAAACTTTAACCTTAGACTGTCTACTATTGACCTCACCCCTTTCCTAAGAGGCCTGTAGGGGGCATGCATAAGCGCACCAACGTGCCTACCGTCCCTGTCCTATTGTTTCTCTTATTCTTTTATTTTTCTTATATGTACCCATTTCATGTATTCACAACTATGTATACTTATTATACTTATTATCTTGTAAACAATTGGCAAATCAAATAAATAAATAAAAATAAATAGAATTATTAAATAAGCCAACTGGAAAACATAGCGTGCAAAACGCCCTCCTACAAATAGCAAGGGGAGGTTTCCCCAAAGATGCAGGTTACAGTTTTAATTTATTTATTTTTATTTATTTATTTGATTTGCCAATTGTTTACAAGATAATAAGTATAAGTGTATACATAGTTGTGAATACATGAAATGGGTACATATAAGAAAAATAAAAGAAGAATAAGAGAAACAATAGGACAGGGACGGTAGGCACGTTGGTGCGCTTATGCACGAATTACAGGAATCATTTACTAATCCTCATAAACTATCAAGCACATTTTACAAATATGGGTTTTTTTTGGCAGAGAAACTACTTAGGGGTTCAGTTTCTACATTTCCATTAAACACTGGAGTCAACTACGGTAAAGCCAATCTGTAAAAGGGAGCGGGGGCCATGCGCATTATCCCTCTGAAGCTTCCTTGGCTGAGCTGGGATTTAAGTCCGGATGCATCATAGAGATGCCGCCAATTCTGCCAGTTGGGAGCTGGCATCCAGACGAGTCCATCATACCTAAATCTGGTTGATGGAAGCTATGCCGCTAATAATAAATCCCAAACCGCAGATTTCAAAGGAGGCCAGGTTAGTATACGAGCAGCGACGCAAATTCGGGAGCAAGCCTCGCCGTCGCTCTGCGGGAAGCCAACGTGGAGGCGGGCGACGGGCAAAACAAAAGCCCTCGGAAGTCGGACTCGGCGAGCTTTGATGCGGAGCGCTTGCCGGAAGGGCCGCGTCAATGCGGCCAAGAGAACCCCGGTTGCACGCCTCAAAACAAGCAAAAGGGCAAACTCTGCCGGGCGCTGGAGGCGTCTGAATAAGACCCGCGATCGGACATGCAAGAAGACGAACCAGGAGGAGGAGGAGCGGGAGCCGGAGGATCCGCGCTTGGAGAACCGAAAGGTACCCGCTCTCCCTTTCCCCCCTTCCGAGTTGGGCTTGGAGACCCCTGCCGTAGAGGGTGTAGCCATGTGTAGAGCTACCCCGGAGCGGTTCTGGTTTGCTAAACGGTGCGGTCTCTTACTGAAGTGGCTCTTCCGACCTGATCGTTTACATTGGGCTATTAAAGCCAAATACCCCCAAGTAGCCGAACAATTTATGACACGCGCTATAAATCATGCAATAATCCCAGCAGAGACTGGAAAGAAGCGCAAGATGTTTTCCCCCCTTGAAAGCGTCTTGCTAGGCAGACTTCCATCCCAAAGTTAAGAAGGAAGGGATTAAGGGACACCTGGGGACCACGTTGAACTCATGTGGACTGCCCTGTACCCTGTTAGTGAGTAAGGGAAGCTGGCGCCCTTTCTCCTCCCCGTCTCCAGGCGTGGGCAAAATTCTCATCACCTATTGCCCAGAGGGAGAATACACTATGACACCTCCCTCCCTCTCTTTCTCCCAGTTGGCATTGCTCAGTTTGAAACAGATCGGACTCTTAAAGCTATTTTTGTGTTTTCAGGGCTGAGGCAGTTTCAACTATCATTCATTGTCTCTGAAATTAAGTTTGTACTGCAGATCTCATGGGTCCTATTGTTTCTTGTCATTACTGGCTTCCTTTTCTTTAAAAGAGGCTCCGTCTCTGTTCAGCTGAATAAACATAAACAACAACAACAACAACAACAACAACAACAACAATAATAACTGTACATTTTAGGAAGGTACTTGGTTGATACTTAGGACACTGGCAGCAACCTGTATCAACCATTAGCACCAGTCAATGGTATTTGTGATGCATTTTTGAATGTTCGGTTGACTGAGTTTCATGTTTAATGAATAAATTCATTGTATGACCGCTTGTTCCACTGGCTGACAGCTCATACAATCTGGAAATCGTTTTAACCCATTGGTTCTGATTCTGCTCTCTGAGACAGTAGATAATAAATTAATAGAAAAGAGAACAGAAATAAAACAAACAGGTCTCTTGTATGAAATTATTTCTGCCATGGTTTTCCACATAGGATTTTGGAGCCAAAATATATTGGATTATTTTCTGAACACCAAGCAAATTAAAACAAGAGATGGAGCTGAAATCATTTGGTATCACAGAGCAAACAGCAAGCAACACATGAAAGAGGCAATACAGAGTAAGTATTGGAAAATAATACTTGAATGTCAACCAGGTAAGAAAATTTAATTTTTCTTATTGTGTTTGTACTTCATAATAGAGTATAGCAGTATATTTTATTTCAATAATTCTAAACAACAGAGCAGAGTTAAATCACAAGAGCATTACATTTAGTTTGATGGAAGTGGCTGGATATTTTTAGAGGGAATCAGGTTTTTTTTTTTAAGTAATCTGTTAAAGAGATGCTGAATTTCCTGACAGGAAAAAACATGTATGCTTGGAGACAAAAATCTGAAAAATATACTGTACAATGTGAAGTGCATTTGTTCCATTTTGCTTATGTAGCTTATATACCCTACCATTAACCTTTTTCCAGGCAAAAAATGCAGACGACAATGTGGCATATTCACATAATAGTTTTAGCCAAAGTAAAGATAAACATGGTTCACTCAATCTAATTTTCTCTAATTATACAATGTATTGAGTCAAAATTAATCCCAACTTGCATAACATGTTAGTTTCACTAATTTCTTGATTAGTATGTTCTGCAAATCCACCCTCTGTTATATATTTCATATTTCAAATTGAGCAGACTTAATCCAAAATTGTTCCAAAGCAAACGTGCATCAGACTAACTCCCTTACCGCACCAGTCTTCCAAGGAAGAAAAAGCGAATTGCACAGTGACTGAAAAAGCAAGGCATTCCTTTGTGAATCCACTGCCAAAGAGTACAAATAAGCCCAAGATAAGAGACTGCAGAGGAGAGGGAAGAAGAGGTTCAGAATAAGCAAATAAAGAATTGGTCTTCATTGGATTTCACTGTGTTGTTTTTCGACTTGGGTCTGACATAAGCAACTAAACTGCCTGTACTAAAAACAGAAATCAAATGATTTGATACCCAAAGCAGAGAGAACTGAGTTTTTTTTCCAGTTAGCTGCTCTCTGAGCAATTTCTAATTCTTTTACTATTTTGTATTTTAAAGCAATAGATGTTTAAAGTTCATATTTTAAGTTGTTCTATTGCCTTCCCAATAGACAACATAAGTAATGTGATTAGAATGTATACATATTCATGGGAGAGATGAATTATTCTTATGATCTTTAGTTCATATAATTACCCCAGGATGTAAAAGGATAAAATAAATTTTTGATGATTCTTTAATGATTTATCTCCATGACTCTTTAATTGGTTCCTCATAGCTCCTTTTATTCGTTCTCATGTGATATATATATAAGTAGAAGGAAATAAATGCTTTGCTACAAATGACTTTTTAGATATAACAACATTATTGCTATATTTCCATCTTTGTTTTGGAAATAGGTGCTGCTCACATGATAGAAGCAGATGTCCTCCTTTACGATAATCACCCAGTCATGGCTCATCCGCCTGAAACAAATAGTGATAACTCACTCAAAGAATGGTTAAATGAAATTAAAAACACCAACAAAGGGATCAAGCTTGATTTTAAAAGGTAATTTTGGAAATACACATACATACACACACACTTTTAGACTTTAAATAATTAACCACTATATTATTGAATAAGGAATTATTGGTCAAACAATTACCAAAACATACATTATGAAGTGCAATGACATCTGTATAAGTATGCCAAGAATTGCATTTTTAGTATTACCTTTCAGGTAAAGTGCTGAAGGAAACCCTAGAAATAAAAAGCTGAAATAAGATAACTGGCTAATGCCAAAATTTTGACTGGGAAGAATTAGCCTTATGGCTAGTATTTAATATATTTTACAAAACAACACCAGCAAAGAATTCATTTAATGATTCTGTGCACATATCTAGAACATTCATATAATAGTTACTATTATATGATAGTATATGTAATAGCGTAATAGTATAATAATTATCCAATTTTTTTCTCTATCTTTCCATTCACAAGTTGTAGATGTGGATTATTTTTATTCTACATTCTTTTGTATAAGGTGTATTCATAAACTTGTGGCCTAGCAATGATGCCATGGGCAGCCACAGTCACCTGATTATGATTTTCAATGCTCCTTGCCAGCTTCCTACAAGCAAAATCAATGGGGAAGCTGGTAGGAACTCACTCCTACAGCTTTTTTGCTTACCTGTGGTTATTCCACTTATCCCTAGGTAAGTAAATACCACAACTGTCAGTATTTGTCTGTTATTTAATGTATTTTGAAATAATTCAAAATAAAAAGTTGCCAGTAATTAGAATAAATGACATTACAAATCAAATAGGTTTCTATACATGTAATCGTGTTTAACTTAATATGTATATGAAGTGTCACTATGCTTTGTGGATATAAGCCTTTGAATGTGCACGACTTGGTGTTCAACTTGTCATGTCAAGGACTACAGACCTCCATGTGACAAACGGAGGGCTTCACTGCACAAGTTCTTTTATTTTATTCTTGTTATCCTTATTTGCTATTTCATTATTTTGTTAATTTAAAAAATTTAAAAGAAAATGAAATAAAATACGGTAATAGCAAAATTCTGACTTATTTCAAACAATCTCTTTTTCCCTGATCAGTAGAGGGCGCTACAACCCTGAAACTCTTTTCCACTATTTTTTTTTTTTAAACAACTGTGGTCTTTTTTCTTATGTGTGTGTCTGTTTTAAAATGAAGAATTAGCAAAGATGGAAGCCAAAAATCAAGAAAAATATCTTAGAATTTAAATCCCAGAGTAAGCATGCATGAATGAAAATAAATCCCTCTTCCTTCCTTTGCCAGCATCAAACTTAACATTCTAGTATTGTGTCTGTCTTGCTGTCTCTGTACAGTGTCCAGGGTCATTAGATATTTTTCTGTTTGCAATAAAGCAACATGCTTAGCTATGCCATTTTTTAAAAAATTGGTGTAAACAAGTTCCTGTATATGGATGTTGAAATTTTGGAGTCAAGATTTATTGCCACATATAAAATGCAAAGTAATTGGGAAGTTTTTAATTTTGGGAGCTTTGTGGGCATTAAGAGGGAAAAAATTGCAAATTACAAAAAAGGGGAGAATTGTCTTGATTTTTTTTAAACATTTGCATGTTTAAACCACCAAATTTTACTATTAACCCTTCCTTCAATTTAAAACTTAAAAAAAACCCAAACATTTCTTCCTGCCAAATTTGCATTTCCAGTATTTTGATAATCAGTGAAAAATACGTATCCTTTTACCATATACTTTAAAATGTATTGCTTGTTTATAGTCTAGAAGCTGTGAATCCCTCAATGAAGCTTCTTGGAGACCTGCATCTTAGGCAACCTGTTTGGATTAATGCAGACATACTTCTAGGACCTAAAGGAAATCACCCTGTAGATGCAAAGGGATTCCTAGACACAGTGATATCATATTTTCCAGATGTAACTTTATCTTTGGGATGGACTACTGGGAGAATTAATTCAAAATGCAATACAGGTAATGCAAGCCTGTGCTAATGTTTTAAATTCATGTATAGATTCATATAAATTCATATATATATATGTGCAATTCATCTTGTCCTGCAATCAGGATAAGACATTTTTAGGTAGCTGTTTGTATAAAAGGTGATCTTTTATACTGAGGTCACTGCACATAGAGGACTAAAATTCAGCTCATAACCAAGATGGAAAAACTATTAGTACAATCATGATTCCCCATCTCCTTTACTTGTGCAATTTTCAAGACGTGCATATAAATCTGACATGGCTGATATTTATATCAAAATGATTCTTTGATCCCACAACTGTAACATTAATTTCAAAGGCTAAAGCCTTCACCTATAGTACTGTATATTTTGAAAAATATTATACACAGCAGCATCTGTAGGAAGGCAGGAGGAGTTAAAATGTTGTATTGAATTGACAGAAGCTATCGTGTCACTTTGGTGTCACTTGCATGTACAAAAGGGACAGAGTTTGTGGAGTGGCAGTAATGCATATTCATCTTTTTGACAAAAACAATGGGTACTCTGGATATTTTCAGTTATGTTACATTACAGTTTATCTTTTTCAATGTAGAGAAGAACAGCAATTTGCAAGAATCAAAGTTTCTCTTTCCTATTCGTATCTCTTCCTCATTCCAGTAAAAAAGGGTTTTAATTAGAGGTCGACAGTTTACCTATCAGAAATTCAGCTTCCGTGTCTGAATACTATAGCATTTGTTCCTTCTTTAGGTTATAGTCTAGCCATGGTACAAGAAATGGCAGAACTATGTAGAGATCGTACTCAGCCAATCACTTTTGCTGCAAGAGCTGATTTGGTCTGTCGGTCAAAATCTGAACTTCTGTGGTTACTACAGCAATCAAACAGGTATGATTTGCCCTAACTGAATATTATAATAATGTATAAAAGATTTTACAAATGATTTAAAATAAATTAACAAACCAGAAAGTGTCTGCTTCAACAAAGCTAATACAGGAGTATTTCATTTTCATTTACTATTTTTGTTGTACCTTAACCAGCCATCCTCAAGTCCCCTTTTATGGTTTTAAGAATCTGACTATAGATCCTGAAAACTAATAGCAAGGTACCACCATTTTTGCATGGGGAAATATACCAAATCCATCAACTATGCACCAAAATAGACTTATCATTAGTAAACACAAACACAAAGAAACCTCCTCAGCTTCTCTGCCCAAATGATGCAGCCTCATCTTCCTTATGGCCTTAAGCCAACCCCACCTCAAAACTCTGATCCATGATTTATGAAGATGGAAATGATTGTCTGAAACCAACCATTATGTTAATAAGGATTCTCACTTTTTTATTATTTAATTTTGATGGTGTGGATTCAGTGAAACACTTTCCTCAGAAAGCTTTCATTTGATAGATCCATCATGTGGAAACAATATTTATAACACAATTGAAGTTTTGGCATTTACTTTTATTGCAATACGTATTTTAGATAGGTAGATACCTAAATATCTGTTAGATATTTGTGAAGTAATTCAACTTTGGTGATTCTTCTTCCAGGTACACATTAACCATTTGGACTGGAAAAGATGATGAATATTCCGTAGATGATTTACTCTTCATCAGAGCCAGCTTTGATAAATGTAGAGTTTTTTATGATATCTTGGAGCCACAAAATTCCGAATTCAGAAAAGCCATAGGAATATAAAAAAGGATAAATAAAAAAGTCCAATCAACAATATATTTAGGCTTTAGACTAAGTGAAAAAAAATGCATTAAACTGATTTGTAAATTTCTATCACTGATGGAATACAATTGTACTTATTGTAGTGGATGTTTTCATCCATTTCCCTTCCACAGCTTCCTTCTGCTTCTGCAAAAAGTTGATCTTATTAATGGTATGGAATTTTGGAGGGGAGGGAAATAAATGGAGGGAGATTATGGGAGAAATTATTTCCCCTTGCAGGAATAAAGGCAAAACTAAGATTATAGTTGCATTTTTTTTAAATATCAAACTTTTAAAATCTACTTTAAATTCCAAAGTTTATTTATCCTCATTACAGAGTGAGATTTGTACAGCGAGAAGAGTTTTTTCAAAAACTTTACTGAAACCTTCTACTAAGGTCATTCACGCTCTGCAGCATTCAACTTCTCCCTTGAGCTCTATCTTCTCTCTCTTATGCAGACATCATCCCTGTATCTGTTGTTAGGCTGTGCCCTCATATTACACTGAGGAGATAACAATGTTCTACAAGTGTTTCATATTCAACTTCAATCTACTTAAGCCCACATGACCATTAGGAAAAGAATGTGGGGGATTGTAGTAAAAAGCAGATAGAATTTGATTATTTCTGGTTTAGACAACTGACACTGCCACAAATTGTGGCAAAATATCATAACATGCTACATATTTAACTGACTTGGACCATAGATTGATACAATCTAAGCCACAATAGTATTTTGTTTTTCTTTATAAAGTTAACAGATTTTTTTCACCAATAAACCATGGCTTAGTGCTGTGGGTAACTTTATACTTTAGCAACAGATTCCAAGTTCCCCTGAGATACTAATACTTCTCATATTTTTCATACAAGCAGAACATTTCTAGAACAATTCTACACAAAATGCAAGATATATATCATAATGCGCACTTAAGCATTTCTTTAATAATATAGAAAGTATGCTATTATTAATTGCTCATATAAATCATCTTACGTTTGGTACCTATCTCTAAGCCTTAGTATATCCAGTGATGGGGGAGCACGAACTTGAAAAGCCTTGCCTCTGCACTTCCCTTTATTAATTTGTCTAAAAAAAGGAGTTGGAGATGTTAATGGACATCATTAGGAGGAGATGTGGTGTGTGTCTAGCACATGGGCTACTATTATAAAGGCTGTACTCCTTTACATGGAAACACAAACATTGCCAAATCATCCTCAGGGATATGTAATTACCCTGTTAACAGTTGTTTTCCCAGCTATTTCAAGTGACTCACTAAGGCAACTCGATTTCATTGAGGGCCACATCAGGGTTGTGTTTGATCTCAGGGATGCCAGGTGGGTGTCACCGGGATAGACATAGCCAGCTCATCATCTTGTGTCGAAGCCTCCTGCAGTGCTCTCCCAGTGCGCAGCCCTCCTAAGATCCATTTTTGCTGGCAGAGGCATCATGGGCTGGTCCTTTGCTGTGTCTAGGGTAGCCCCACAGGCCAAATCTAAGCACCCCATGGGCCAGATCCAGCCTGCAGGCCTTGAGTTTGACACCCCTGCCCTAAGGCATATAGGCATTATTTGACTTCGGGCTTTTAATCACAGGACTTTTAACCACAGTTGACGTCTACCTCCTGCTTAAGAGTTAGTGAGGCATCTATGATGGGTCCTCCACAGATACATTTAAAAGAAACAGTTAAGTCTATTCCTGTGGTGGTGGTGCTTTTTAATATGGAGCAAACTGATGCAGAAGGGCCTCACTAGTTTAAGAATGTGTTCCAAAATAATTCAATCTAGGCTGTTCAGTTTTATATCATTACTGTGCAATAATTGCTATAAAGAACTCAAAACATGAAGTTGAGAAGCATGTGCCGTACATTTTTTAAATATAAAATTAATGCTTAAATACCTTAGTGTATTATTAATATGATATTTATAATGTTGCTTTGGGGGTGGGGTAGCATCAAAGCTTTGGAAACCTCCTCCCGCCCTCAAAATAGTCCCCAGACATTTGAAAGCTGATTTGTCATTGGAATATGTTCCTTCTGTGGACTTTCCAACTGTTAGAAAAAACCTATAGCAGATTTTCATAGGAGCCTGGCAGATGGGGAAGTCTTAAATCAATTATTTTAGTTTGTATAGAGATTGTACAGTTTTGACATCTCTGCCAGTCTGTTATTTTATTCCAATTTAAGGTCCATTGAAGATGATCATAGGCCCCTTTCTCCTCTGCTGTACAGTTTTTCCACAGAGCATATCTATGCAAAGAGTTGAAGTAATGGCTGACTGGCTTTAAAACAAACAATAGAAGCAGAGCTTAATTTTTCAACAACACCCCAAAATCCCAGAAGACAGTATAAACCACCCCTATATTTTCCCCAGGAAACAAAATGGGCATGTCAAGTGTCAAGCTTGACTTGAAGGAGACTTCACTTTTATATCCCATCTCATCTTTTCTGATTTAATTTCCTAGGAGAAAAATGTCCATGTAGAGATAGTCTACAATCCTAAATGATCTCTCCACAAATGACTCTTAAGATTGTCTTTGTATTGTACACATATTATATACTGTACACATTGTCTTTCCATTCCTACCTATCCCAAGTCTTGGTTCAATAAATTATTTCAGTGTCCTGGATTCCCATGTTATATTGAACTACTGGTAAAATATGCTAGGATAAATTGTGATTGGCTAGTATGTTTAACATATTCTGGAAACACACTTGAGGGCACACTGGTTCTTACCCAAGCAAACCCAAATCTTTAACACAAATACATATTTTCCCCAAAGGATATTGAAAGCAAATAAAATGGTATTTCATGTATATGACTTTTTTTCATTTAAATGGAATGATATATGACTGAAACTGCTCTTACAGTTGACCTTAATAATCTAAAGGAAAAAATAAAGCTAGCAGTAAAACATTTATCAGCTATTATTACAATTTAACAAAGTAAAATGAAACATAGCAAATTTTGGTAGGAAAGGTGCATACCCAAATCTTTTATTTGCCTCAATTCATAATTAATACTTTAATGAAACTATAACAAATAAACATTTTTGATTTGGTTCCATTTTAAAATAGTGGTTTGAAAAATAGTTATTCCATTTATGTCAGTCAGAGAACCAATCTTTTTTAGTATTTGCAGAGAGTAAATACAGTAGTCTCCCCTTTCAAATGTAATTTATCTTAATTGGATATTAGCCTTTTTTCATTTTCTCCGTTATCCAATTTTTTAATCACAGAGGCTTTTACTGAAGTTTAACTACATTTATTTAAATATTTTCCATAAACCCTTTTCATGTTATCTTATAACTTGTATTGAGGTTGGAAACAAAAAAATGTAATCGTTTCAGAATGCACGTTATTTGTTTCACATTGTCAGTGACTGTGGGTGTATCAGAAGATACATAAAGGAAACTATAATAATTCTACAATTTTATACTGCATAATCTTGTGATTGAACTCTGAAAAAGCTGTTTCAATAATTACCAGCATATATTACATATAATTTCTTTCATGTTGTTAAGACAAATTGACTGACCCCTTGTACATAAATTTATAATCTAGAACAGGTTATATATAATGGACTTCGACCTGAAAGAACTGAGTTTATGCACAATACTAAACCATAACATAATAATGCAGCTCAAGATACATGTATCAAATCAACATGCAAATTTATTAGCAAAACTAATTTCTTACCAGGCTGTATACTTTAGATTTTTCTAATTACACTGATTAAGACAACAATTTCCTAATAATTATTGGATGCATACTGAAATTATTGCACAGCATACAATATTGAACAATGGACAGTTCTGGAAGAATTGTTATTTTAAGAATTAACTAATTTTGGTATAAATTTCTTCATCTGGCTCTCCCGTTCCTTGGTTTTCCCCTAATTAGTGCAGCTAATGATAGTTATCTGAAAAGTAATGGGAGTTGTATACGGAAAACACCAATAGGTAGATACTATTAGAGTAATAGTAATGAGATACTATAGTAATAGTAATGTAATAGTAATTACAGTAGTAATAGTTGTTAGGAATGATAGTCACTTAACAGTTGGGTTGGCAATATATAAACCAGGATAGTTATTTAATACTGTTGTATTTTTAATAGAATGCTGTAATTGTGATTGGCTGAAGTTCCTCCAACGGCCTTAAGATGGAGCCACATTTTACTATTCAGTGTATCTGTATGCTGGTTGTGTGTTATTCAACACCACTCTCACTACATTTCCCTGAGTGCACTCATTCTCCTAACGGGAAATACCTCAACACTGGTTATGGGCTCAGTTCATACCAGAATTAGATAACAGAGTTAGTGTGAATACGCAGTACCATATACAGACAGCTGTTTACTGTTTAATTGTGGGTTACTGTCCTGGTAAAGATGGCACAAGACCCGTCAACAAGTCTATCACTGATAACTCGGTTGGATGGAATAAACTATGTTTCCTGGTCTATGAAGTGCAGTCTACTTCTGCGTGGGGAGCGGTTATGGGCTGCAGTTCAGAATCCACCAGATGTGAATGCTTGGGATCCAAATAATGAGGATGATGCCAAAAAGTTAGCTGACTTTAAACGGAACAACGAACGAGCTCTTTGTATAATTAGACTAACACTGAGTGACAAGCAGCTAGTCCATATTCGTGGAGAAGAGTCTGTTGCTAGGTGTTGGGAGAATTTGAAGACGACTTATGTTCACGACAGTGTAGGTGCACACATACATCTTACACATAAACTGTTTAGAGCACGTCTTCTGAAAGGTGGAGATATGTTAGTTCATTTGAACTTAATGAAAAGAACTTTTCAAGAACTACGTGAAAAGGAACTGATTTTTTTCAGAACTGCATCAAGTTTACATCATTCTTTCCTCATTGGATGAAAGTTATGATGATTACGTATCTTCACTGGAAGTCCTGACCAGAAATGAACTGACATTGACTGAAATAACTGGACAATTATTAGAAGAGGCAAGAAGAAGGCAGGAAAGAGACCAACTGAGAGTGAAACAACCACAAG